ATTTTGTGGAATCTAGAATCTGTACTTTATAAGAAAGTGCAATCCCAAATATAACATATGTTACATTTGAGTACTTTCTAAAGTTGGTATTGTGTAATGATTCCAGTTTGGTGTATATATCAGAGCAGACATATTGGAGTGGGGACTAAGCCCTGAGGGTTAGCGAACAGGCGACCAATCAAAGGGATCAGTGTCTGTCTTTTGATGTGAACAATCAAGTTTAATTCTAAGTTAGAAAACTAATGAAGAAAACTGCACACCATGGCAATCATGATGTATTAATATTGAAAGATGTTATGATAATCTTGGTGTGCAATTGTTGACAAACATGAGCCATAAAATATAGCACTGACATTAAAATATCACAGTAAATAAAACTGGAAAAATGCTCTGAAAAGATTTATTGAGTACTTAGCAGTAGGAGGTATGTATAGAACTGGAGGGATAATGACCAGTTCTTGGGGGCCAGGATTTTGATGTGACATACGTTCATGAGTTCAAATCCCAGGAATTTTCTGATTATGTTTCAATTTTTTTTTTTTAATTTTTTTTCGTAAATGTTGTTGTTGTTTTTTTAATGGGTTCCCAAGATTAAAATATCACAGATATACAAAGCCATGATACATACAGCTTAAAGTAATACAGGTTCATGATGTACAGGTAAGATATCAATATATTAACATATTCATAAACATGCGTACATCATTAATTGGATAATGTATAGATAATGTATGTTTCACAGTTTTTCCCATCTGTGGTTGTGGGCTTCACAAAGGTGGTAGACACCTGCATTACTTCAGGTTTTCTCCTACCAGACACTATCATATTACTTACATAAGGTTCAGAATTGGCACTTAACCAAACTCAATCCATAGAAATCCATTGTTGCATTTAAGTTTTTGATGTCATATCTGTCAATGATCATTTCAGCAATCAGTTTCCTGTTACAGAAATTCTTGAACTGTGCATATTCAGACAGGTAATTTGTTCTGGCAAACACTACAAAGACTACAACAAATATCCACCATTTATTAATCAACATTGCCAAATAGTCTCTATTTCTTGAAAATGTTTGACTCTTTAACAGCTCTATTTGTGTGTTCCGTTTCAAATATAAAGCCTTATCACCCAGCACTGCCTTCAGCATTACAAGGGTTAATTATGTCATAAACTTAAAGCATAAACCACATCAAGCCTCAACTTTATGACTCTCAAATAAATGGAATATTGAGCTGAATGAGTTAATTCAATACGATGCCTTACGAGGGACTAAATTCAACTTGATTTCAAGTAGCACCAAATTGCCTTTCAGGGCTATGCTGGTTTAACGGCAATTTAGACACTTGAGGAAATGGAACAATTTATACAATACCTCAAGGGAGCTATTTAATCCCAGTAGCTGCCTTACCGACACAGGAAATGATACCAATGTTTTTGAATTACTTTTGGTGTACTGACACATGCATTGACATCAATGTTTTCCAATTCCTCTCTTTAAAACATCAGGACCAATCAATGGATCCAGTCGTTCCATGGAACAGGTTACGTTTGAAACTGTAATAGTCATTCACCTCAATTACTACGACACACAGGCAGTATTCCCCTGCAGAGGTAATTTGTGCAGCAGAGTTGCTGAAGTTGTCGGATACAAATCAAAGCCTAATACTGTAGCAGGGTAACAAAACTTAGTTTTCAACAATTTATATTATTCCAGCAACGCCTGGACACTATAACGAGCAGGTTGTCGTTGTATATCATTTATCTTTGTTTCAATAGAATACAGAGAAATGAACTCTCAATTTTCCTGGATCAAAAGGCATTATCCTGTCCAAAAAACCAGGTTCACTAGACACTGTGCAATGAAAACTCTAGGATCACATGATACCGTACGCTCTAAATCCTAGGATCACCTGACACCATACTCTCAAAACCCAAGGATCACCAGACCCCATACTCTCGAAACCCAAGGATTACCTGACACCATACACTCAAAACCCTAGGATCACCAGACACCATACTCCCAAAACCCTAGGATCACCAGACCCCATACTCTCAAAACCCTAGGATCACCAGACACCATACTCTCAAAACCCTAGGATCACCTGACCCCATACTCTCAAAACCCTAGGACACCACACCATACTCTCAAAACCCTAGGATTACCTGACACCATACTCTCGAAACCCAAGGATTACCTGACACCATACTCTCAAAACCCTAGGATCACCAGACACCATACTCTATAAAAAGCCCCAAGGATCAACTGACACCATACTATCAAAACCCAAGGATCACCAGACACCATACTCTCAAAACCCTAGGATCACCAGACACCATACTCTAAAAAGAGCCCCATGGACCACCTGACACCATCCTCTCAAAGCCCAAAGATCACCTGACACCATACTCTCAAAACCCTAGGATCATATGACACCATTCTCTCAAAACCCAAGGATCACCTGACACCATACTCTCAAAACCCTAGGATCACCAGACACCATACTCTCAAACCCTAGGATCACCAGACACTGTACCACCACAACCTCAGGACCATCAAAGATTGCAAAAAGTCATGCAAGACAATAAAAACATGTGGCCCAATCAAGATCGTGAAAAACGACATACAACCAGCACTAATTTGTAATAACCTTGACTGTAACCTACTTCCCCTCAATCAATGACAGTGTCCATTGTTCCTTGAGGTCTCATTAAAACCAGTGCTTGATGAATATGGCACCAGGATTTTGCAATTCTTCCTGCTCCCTTGACAGTGACTGTACTGCTAGACAACTTTAGCTGTAACCTCTGCCTCGATACATGGCGCGGTGGTGGCGGGTGGTCCTGTGCTCAAAGCTCAGGTCACAAATCGGTGAAGTTAAGCAGCATCGAGCTCAGAGAGTCCTTGGATGGGTGACCGTGTTTGGCAGCTTGACTCCCGAGAGTTTCTAGGACTTCAGTCCTGCCCCACAACGAAGCACATGTGACACATGTGGTCTCACCTTAGGCAAGTGAGTTTGTTCAAAATTGTCTCTGTTCACCCAGCAGGAAAATGGGTACCCGGTGGAAAAAGTCATATGACTATAACCTTCTAACGCCTAACAGGCAGCTTGGGTTATCCGGGGTAATAATGTGCTGTGCCTTGAATGTTAGCGCTATGAGCATACCTAGTGTGGAGTTTGGCGCTATATAAATGGACACATTATTATTATTACATACATGGGCATTCACCTCAAACATCCCAGTGACAAAGTTCTCAGTTTTTACTGTACCTTGAAGTACATGTGCACATGCTGAGCCATCACAATACCCCAACATCCTCTGTATCTGTATCGCTACCGTGAAGATCCAGGTTAGAATTGTCTTCAGCAACCCATGCTTGTCATAAGAGGCGACTAACAGGATCGGGTGGTCAGGCTTGCTGACTTGGTAGAACATGTCATCATGTCCCAGTTGCGTAGATCGATGCTCATGCTGTTCATCACTGGATTGTCTGGTCCAGACTTGATTATTTACAGACCGCCGCCATATAGCTGGAATATTGCTGAGTGTGGTGTTGAACAACAAACCACCCAAACCATCTGTATCATTAGACTTGGTACCATCACACTGTAACACTTTCTGGACCAACACTGGTTCTATGTTCATCAAGCACTGGTCTTAATGAGTCCTCAAGGAACAATGGACACTGTCATATCACCATGTCCAATGACATGGATCACTATCATTGTTTCACTTGCTGGTTTGTCTGGTCCAGACTCAGTGATTTACAGGAACATGTGATACAGTATGAATATAGCTGAAGTGGCCTTCACTTCACCATTTATCTCTACTCATTATGGGCTTGCATGTGAATGTGCAACATTGAAGGGACCTTTGGACCAGCCTGACTCACACCATCAAGGCCCTGTGGATAGGTACCACACCTAGCAGAGATCAAGATAGAACCTGTTGGTTCAAATCCCCAATATTCTCCGGGCCCTACACATCACTACACAATCAAGGCCCTGTGGATAGGTACCACACCTAGCAGAGATCAAGATAGAACCTGTTGGTTCAAATCCCCAATATACTCCGGGCCCTACACATCACTACACAATCAAACATTATTATACTCAATGATGACTGAAATACCGTTGCCAACAGTGTCATCCAACTTAAGTCAGAGACTATATAGAACAAACTTTATGGATAACAACTTCTTTTTATTTGTGAGTGCGACGTTTCAATACAGATTCTTGTAACAACGGTACAAGAATCTGTATTGAAATGTTGCACTCACGAATAAAATGAAGTTGTTATCGTTGTTACAAGAATCTGTATTGAAACGTCGCACTCACGAATAAAAAGAAGTTTTTATCGTTGTTACAAGAATCTGTATTGAAACATCGCACTCACGAATAAAAAGAAGTTGTTATCCATAAAGTTTGTTCTATATTGTACTTCCCAACTTCTAAAATGCCACTCAAAGAAGTTAAGTCAGAGAATTGCAGTCCTAAAGTACTATCCAGAGAATGCACCACTTCTAGAATTAAGAACTCCCATACTCACACCCATATTCTATGCACAGAATGTTTGTAAGACATTGATTGTCACATAAAGCGATCTTGCTACTAGCTGTCAGAAGTCTATGCTAATAGGAGAGACAATATACTTTGGACAAAGACTGTTTTGTGGGCAGTGCCTTGAACAAGAAATGACACTTGCTTGAGAATACACACTAAACTACTCAACATGGCTACAGTGAATTGGTGTTTTACATGTTTGTCCATATAGAACAGGTCTGAAAGGTTCAAACAGAATGCTGCATAAACTAAACTGAGTTAGTACCTAATTCATATTGTTAGCTACCTTGTCTGTCTGAGCCAGCTGCAGGGGATACAGCCATGTTGATGCATGGCGTATTCCAATCCAGCAGAACAATAAATTCGGCTTCTCCAGTTCATTTCTCCAGGATTAAGTGTAATTGATAGGATTGAGAGAATTACTGAAGTTTCACCTACCATCAGTGACAAATCGGACCACTACGGGCTTCTCGCTGCCAGCTACAAAACCAAATCCTTTTTCAGGATCTCGGAGGAGCTCAACATCGCGGGGTTTCGGCGGTTCGATGTAGTCTGGGTCATTGCGGGGATCTTCTCGTGTCGTGTATCTTTCGATGTGACTGAAACAGAACATAAAAAATTGGACCATTGTTACATCAAACGTTATTTAGGTAAAAACTGCTTTTATTTGTACATTCATGTATTAAAAGCATTGTGATGGAAGTCGTACAAAGTTCTATACATTTCTATACAAGTAGCAGCTTTAAACTGTATTCCAGTTGGCACCTCTTGGGGCATACTTAGTCCACATACTTTCTGGTTGCAGTGAGGGTACAGGTCTGAAGCAGGCTAACACGTGACAGTGCAAGGGTCGAGCTAATGTTAGGGTCAGTGAGTGAGTGATTAAGAACACTTCAGCCTTCAAGACTTCAGTTCTCAGCCCAACAAGGTCAACCCCACCCACCCCAACTTCAACCCTTACCACAAGACTCAACCTAACCCCTCCTCATCATGGAATGTCCAGTCCTCAATTTCTTGATACAAACTGAATTTTTTTCAAACTGAGTTTGACAATTTGAAACAGCTGAACTTTTAACTCAACTGCATTTTGAAATAAAAAAGCCCAAACACCTTAAGTAATCTATCCACAAAACTCAAAATTGTTGACTAAATTGATGATGATACGATGTCCATTAAAACAGTCTGCTTAAAATCATGGTGAGGGTGGTGCCATGTCTACCATTTAAAAATTCATCATACTATGTCCCTAACAACAGTCCATCAGACCTAATAGTGATACTATGTTCCTAAAACAGACTAACACATATACTACACAGAATCTGTCCTTTACAACTGTCTACTACATGTAGTTGTGATGCTATGTCTCAAATGGCTTGATCAGTAAATACCGACATTGCCTCCCGTCCTTGTCCACTCCAAAAGCAGCCCTCACCCTTTCACAAACCAATTTCCCTCTTAAATCCCTCCTCTGTAACAAGGATTCCAAATGTCTGGCGATTCCGCTCAGTTTCTTCTCCACTCCCTCACAATGAGACAAAAACATTTTTTCAGAACTCTTAAAGGTTCCTTTTGATCAAAGAAATCTAAATTTGGATGTCTTGATACATGCACAAGCTGCAGCCTAACTGCCAGTGAAGCAAGGTTAATGTCCCTTCAAGAACAAACGTGAGTCTGAGAAACGCAATTAATTTGGAGAAAGGACACCACATGGGCAGCCTTTAAACATACAAAAGGATATGTATGGTTCATTCATCAATAGGCACAGTTTCCAGTCCGTCCCCTGTAACAGTATCTCTCGCACACTGTCACGTTATCAAAGAATCATGTAATCCAGTGTGCATGGGACTACCTTTAACACAAACAGGCTCACTTCAAGGAGTTAACAAATAATCAATAGTCAGTCTATTCCGACGACATGTCCGAATCAAATCATTCAGTGCATGGTATTGAAAATGTAAATAGTAATTTGACTTTTACTAGGCGAAAGTAGGGAGAGGAATCTAAACAAAATGGCTTTAATTTAGCAGGAAATGTGGGCTGGGCTCGTCAGACAGAGCCATTCTGTAGGTCTGAGGTGAGTGTTAGGTGGTAACACACTCCTGAGCATTATTTGTTCCGTATTGAGACAGCGAACACCATTGAAGGCTTTACAAAATGTACCCATTTGGAGGTTTCAAACCCAGAACACCCATATGGTGTTCCAACACTATACTCACATGGACAACATGCTGTGAGTGAGCATGTAAAGGCGTATTATGGAGGGGGACACAATTTATTGTCTTTATTTTAAACTGTACTCATATGTCGATTCAAATACAGATGTTCCCATACTACATATCACTCCCCATTGCTACCCCAACCCCCAAACTGACCCTAACATCCACCCCAACCTCCACCCTCACCCCCTCAAGGCCCACCCTCACATGATGTTCTGGGAAGAAAAATAGGATTACCACATTTATAGAGTGAGGGAGGGAGGTAGGCAGGTCAAAATAATATAAATCCCTATCAGTCACACTGTGTGATGCCAAATTTGGATCCAGAAAACCAGTAGTCAGTGCTTTGAGAATATGGTGAGTGAGTAAGTGAGTGAGTGAGTGTAAGATTTAGTTAACTAGTTTTAGTTTTAGTTTTACCCTGCACTCAGCAATATTCCAGCCATAAGGCAGCGGTCCGTAAATAATCAAGTCTGGACCAGACAATCCAGTGATCAACAGCATGAACATCAATCTCAGCAATTAGATATGATGACATGTGTCAACCAAGTCAGCAAGTCTGACCACCCGATCCCGTTAGTCGCCTCTTACGGTGAGTGCAACAAATAGATAGTGACAGTATAGGACTATCAGGGTAAATACCCCAAACCCTAAAACATCCTGTTTTTCTTTCAGCAGTCATTATTCGATGAGTTATCTAAAGATACTGCTGTAACTGGCTGTATGACAAACATGTTCCAAACATGGCCTGACAATGAAGAGCGTGGACACACCAGTCCATTAACACAGTCCCCCACTTCCATCAGCTTTACCTACACAGCTTCACCAGCGGGGAATAAAAGACGTATCTCCTCTCCGGCCTTCTTGGGACTTATTTGCGCTATCCGCAGTAATCCCTGGCAGAACCGCCACAGCTATACCTATTTGTGGCAAGACACACTCCACGCGGACAAACGTATATAAGTCTGGACATTTGAATAGCCACATAAAATAAGGCCCATACAAACAGAAATATCTGGGTAACTGTCGGGAATGATCATGAAAACACAACAGTGCTTTTAACTCAATGTCCAGTGAGTTAGCAGACGAAGATCTATACATGTATCTCCATCACATTTATACACTGATAAAATAAAATAAAATGATACCAAATGATATCAATAAAATACAATCTCACACGTATCAATAAATATTTTTTAAATTTAAAAAATACAGTGAATGGGTTGTGAGATGTCTCGCTGACAAGGTGAACATGTATGTTAACAAACTGAAATCTTCAAAATGTCGTCGTGACCTTGAAAATTATGTGAAGGTCACCAAAATCGACTGGGTCCTGCGTCTTCCCTAGATGAAGCTTGGTGTCGAATGTTAAGAAAATACAGCAAATGGCTCTTGAGATATCTCACAAGGGTAAAACATAAAGTCCACTTGTGACCTTTGAAATGAAGCTCAAGGGTTTTGTATACTGTGATAAACCTAGGCACCATATATGAAAAGAATCTAGTTAACAGTTCGTAAAATATTTCAATTCGTACGTACATACGGATGGACGGACAGACAGAGCCTAATACTATATTCTTCCCCCACCCCTACTACACGCACACGCGGGGGATAACTAGGTATGGGATAGTTTCCAGATTCTTCAGTCCAATTTTCTATCAATGCTCTAACAACAGAGTGAAAGTTGTTCACTGGCCAAAATGGAATTGCAGTAAAAGCCAACGTAGTGTGAAGGCCAAACTGTATTGACATCCAAATGTCCTAACGTGTGTGAGTACATGGCATTAAACATACGAAAATCAAACTACTTTGCACATTCCTGTGATATAACTCTGATACTACCCCAAACTGTCCCATCAGGGTTCGACCTCCTTTCTTGTATTACAGTCATTGGGTTGGTGAAAGGAGAACGCTACACTTACAGTTACTTTCTGGCTTCTGAAGTGCACTCTTTAGATGTCATTTAAATAACAGGCCATGTGGGGATGTAGATTACATAGCATGTAATAAATCTGAACTAACAAGTGGAACAAACAAGTGAGGCATCCATGAGGAGACCCTGGGATTCAGAAATGTCATTGAAAAAGGAGGAAATTAGATTACCTCTTTTTGTAAAGTTCATGATGAAATGACATTCACTGGGAAAAAAGACGGATCAAAACCATTCTTTTTGTCAGCACACATCACATCCAAATGGCACACCTATCTTTGTGATTGCCCTGTAGCAAACTTAGAAAAATCATGTCTGCCACTGCCCATTTTCACCACACATCCATACAAATATTGTATTCATATCCTATCATTTTGACCACAAAGTCATTAATTTATCTTATTGTTCAACCTGACACACAATCTATTCATTCATGTGACTACATAACATCTAACAATATTCCTTTAAAATGCAAATTATTTCCACAGCAACAACTCAATTCCATAAAAACATTTTAGAAACTCATTTGGACTTTGTACTGAAAATGTGTATGTTTGCAGACTTGGTCTCGTCGCTATATGGCTGAAATAATGCTGAGGTGATGTAAAACTCCATCATACATAATTCAATGTGGGTCAGAAAATTGGTATATTTGTCCTAAACTATCCGTTATAAGTGACATTCCACCAAAATATACATCTATGTGACTACATAAGAATATTCTTAAAAACACAAATTCACAAATGATTTCCTCCGCAACAACTCCACCAAACAATAATTCAATGTGGGTCACAAATTTGGCACATTCTGTTCTAAACTATCTGTTACATGTGACTTTCTGTGGCCCCTTTAATACCAGGCAAGCTAACTGCCAATAACGACCAGTGAGGAACAGAGAGACATATTTAACACATATTGCTTCCTCTTATAGCCTGACACAGGGGATCCCTGTCTCCCTGGTTATTGATTGGTGAACTCGCTTCAATCCACATGACAGTTTAGTACCCATGGTGAATACGAAGCAGTATCTCCTGAAACACTCCACAGCCATGTTCCACGAAGAGATCATAGCGTTACGATGATCGCAACTCCCAAACCCAACACAGACTTTTCATAGTCGCAGCGCTAAGATCATTTTGTGAACATTCCCAGGATGTGTTTTCTTCAAGCATTGTCTAACAACCCAGATGCTGATGTCCAAGATTTTAATAAAATCTGAAGTATCATTTAGGTTTGTCTTTGTATCAGTACATACAAGTTATTATACTAGAGGCAGTCAGAAACCATATATCTGCCAAAGAGCAATTTTAAAACCAACTTACAAGCAAAATAACAATTTAGTTTTCAGTCAAGTTAAAAACCAATTTTCTTGAATGAAAATAGAAGCTTCAGTCCCTTTAGTCACATAAACTCCCCAAACAATTTTCTGCATCAGTGTTCTTTCAACAAAGAC